GCGATATGTGAGCATGACTCAGCCAGTCCAGCTTTGCATCCCAAGCAATGGGCTGACAAAATAGTCCCATCGTTTTCGGAAATGACCCAAATGTTCACTAAAGGATCATTCATATGCTGTGAATGCCAAACTCGTGCTCTCACGGCATACTTGCCGGCGATTACTTTGCCTACAACTGAGGTTACAAATCCCGACACCATTTGATTAAACGCCTCTAGACTCTTGAACGCCTTGAACTGCTTCTTGGTGTAGAAGCTGGTCTCAAGAACGAGGTAACTCAGCAAGTCCGACGCTTCCACAGGAGGCAAGCATTTTGGACTGAACTTCTCGGCTGGTATGCTTGCAGGGTCAACCCCAATGACCGAGATCTTTTGCAAACATCTTTCCTTCCAACTCTCTAAGCTTTCGGCATACTCAGAGAGCACTGGGATACCTTAAGATGAATGCCAGATACTTTTATCGCTTTTTTCTTTCTGGATATTCATGTAGTTGGCGAAATAATACGGCGATAAGAGAGAGGGCTTCACTATAGAAATCGACTAATTATTCATAAATTTGACACCCGAGGGACACCAACATGGCGGACACTAACTTCAGCAAAGCTTGTGACGTCACCTGAAACCCAAGAATACGACGAAACAAACTGAAAGTTCGACGAGTCGAACTTGGAAAACAACGACTCGACATAACGAAACGACGAATCGAACATTTTGTCCAGGATCTACCTTCTTAGGTTCTCGCATGTCGCACATTTGAAATGGCCCTCATTCAGGGAGCATTTCAGGCGATTAATCGCGGAGATACTCGTCAGAATATCTCTCAAGATATTTCATTTGACAGCACAACGCTTCCCGTACTTGTTGCAGAACGTATTGCGTCCTTCCTGAATGGTAAAGATCTGATAAATTTGGGAAAGACTTGTATATTGTGGAACGAAATATCTCGCAAGAACATCGTTTGGAAAATCCTCATCGAGAGACGGTTTGGACGGCAGGCAGTTTCTGAGAACAAAAATCCCGGGATACATTACAGAGGGGTTTATTTCAAACTAGCTACAAGTAAGAAGCCTGCTACTTCTTTTGATGTAAGTTGGCTGAACGGTCATTATTTACAGAAAGCGAAAGACAGGGAAAGCACATATGGAGAAGTGGTTCAACTGAACTCTGTTTGTTGGCTTCAAATCAACCAGTTTTTCGCCGGCGTTCTTCCAGGAAAATACGCTTTAGTATGGCGTATGAAACTCGATGGAGTTTACTTAAACTCAAGGGAATCGATAGAATTCCGAGCAAGGCCGGAGGAGGGTTGTGGAAGAGAGCTTTGTTCGAAATGGACCGAGCCTGATCTGAAACGTGCAGAACGCCGCTATGGTAGGCGTAAATGGTTTGAACAGAACATGGGGATTTTTGAATTGACAGCTACCTGCAAGGTATACGTTGAGATTAAAGGAAGAATATATCAGTGGTGTGGTGGCATATCGTGGGATTATGCTGAATTAAGGCTACTCTAGTGATAACTCGATACAACGATCATCTATGGCAATTGCGATTTGATCCACAGTGATTAATTTCCTTTAACAAACCAATAATTTGTTTTCTGAAATAAGTCTTTTTTCTAAGTTTTTTGGCTAAGGAGTGTAACATTTCATACTTACCTATTTCTGGAAATGTGGAATATTCTTATTAAGTATCGATCGATTTGAAACTTCAACATCCCCCCTCCGCCCCCTTGGGCAACCTCCTAGGTATTCAAACTTTTGAAGGATGTTTTGTTCAAATTCCCATCCCCTTGAGCTAGGATTATGTTCAAATGCCTTAACCCAAGTGCCAGTTTTAATTTCATAGATGGTCACAGTTTTTGTGAAGGCAAGAGCAGTGACCAAGGCTCTCTCCACATTGGCCAGCAATTGAGTGGACACTTTTGCTTTAACTCCCCACCCCAACCAGGAAAGGGTTCATTTTCCACACCCCTTACAACAGACAACAATCAAATGCCTTTGGGTTACTGAAGGGGGGAATTTGTAGCTTCAAATTGATCAGGCCTAATAGTGTTCTTGCTTTGGAGATCAAAGTTGTGCTCTCAGTAGAACCTTCTAGTATCTGAACACTCTTGTCTTGGATATAGGCAAAATTATACAAGCAACAGATAGAGAAAATATGGCACCCTGTGACATCTGGAAATTACAAGCAAACCAGGTGGGAGCTATAACAACCACAAGTTCCTTTCTGGTTTATTACTCTCTCTTTTGGGTTTACAGTTAGTATTAAAGTTACATCAAGAGAACACTATGTTTTCTGTCTCTAGCAGTCTGGACTCTCTATATCAGATGGGTGCAAAGGTTTATTAATAATATACTGATATGCAACCTGCATATATTACAAGGT